TTTTTTTATTTATTGCCAAATTCAATTTGCCTCTCTTTCTTCTTTTTACACAACCCAATCTCCACTGGAGTAAAAAGCTAACTCTGGAGCACCCTAAAGCAACAAAGTGCACTCAGCACCAGCAGCAACAGCTCCTGACTGAGAGCCATTGACACAAAAACACTAACCCACACCTTCTGGTCCTGTGCACTGGGTCTAAATGGCAGTACTGGGGGCTGACTGATGAATCACTAATGACTACCACACTCTTCACAGATGTCACAAATGTAAAAAAAAAGTCAATGTGGTTTTTTTTTGTTTCCCCCCTCTCCTGGCCCTCTATCAGTCAACTCGTTCGACCTGCTTGCTGTGTGGCGAGGGAAAAGTCAATACTGTACGGCTGGAAGAGGAGTCGCAGGAACCAGAAACAGTGGCCGGAATGACCCATTCAGCTTATCGGTCAAAGCTATTGTGTTTTCCATATTATGGGGAGTTAATGTTTCCTTGGGTCTGAAATGGCTTCCTGTGAAGTAATTCAAGCTCTGAGGGGCAAAAATAATGAATAACTGCAGTTCCTTACATGAAGGCCATCCCCTTATTTTGACCCTCTTTACAGTTAATAGAAGGGAGAAATAGAACAGAAGGGAATAATAATACTAATAAATCCTAAAGCAGGCCACGGAAATCTTGAGGATTACAAACCAGCTGATTAGCTCAGGTTTACGCAATTTACTGAGTCCTTCCTTTAAAACAGGGAGGTCATCTATAAGTTGCGACGCCAGTCAGTGTCACCACTGTCAACTTGGCTTATCCATGTTTGCGTTGGATTAAATGACTTGATCCGTCTCAGGAAACGTTCAAGACAGCTGTCACTTGCACGGCTTCATCCAAGGTTGGGGATAACAAGAAACAGAAGTGAATGTGACTGTGACAGGAGTTTTTCAATGCCGTGTCTGCACTGGCAACTAGATGCTACCCAACAGTAGGATTCTTGTAACTATGCTGTTAAGAAGACTAAAAATGCATTCAGCTTAGATAAACTCAATTAGATGTTCCCATTTCTCAGTTTTCAATGAGTGCGGCAACCATGAAACCCTTTATTTCCTCCCTTCTTTTTCCTTGAGACTGAAGCATTTATAATATGCTGCAACTCACTACAATATTCTGCCTCTAACTTAATTTTTCTTTAGAGCAATGGCATCAGAGGCACATTTGGTATGCGGTAATATTTGCTATAAAAAAAGGGGTGTAACATTAGCCAGGGGGATGTATAAGAAACTTACCTCCAATATTCATACTCTTTTAACTGTATTTGCTTCTTTTTCGTGCGACCAGGTAGGGGTACTGATGAATTCCAATTTTGTTTTTGTTCCCAATGTTTGATCTTCTTCTGCTGACAAATGCTATGCAAGTAAAGTACAGTACGGATTTTTCAGAGCTTTTTTTGTGGGAAACACTGACCTGCCATTGCTGTAAACAGTAAAGCAGATGGCCTGGCAGCTAAACAACGAGCTGTTAGAAATGCATTTTATAAAAAAAGAAAAAAAAGCAAAGGGTAAATGCACGGCATCGGTGAGCACAATACAGAAGCAATGCGTTAGGGCCACATAAGTGCACGGCTCTTTATCTCTGCAATGCTGGTTGTTAATGCATTACAGGTGAGTGCAGAAAACATCCACTTTCCATCTCTCTGGCCCTCTCTCTCTCCCTAAGCTGCCTGCGAGCCGAGACCAGGCTACCTTTTCTGTTTGGTTGAACATTTCCTCCACCCCCCAAATCCTCTGTTCCTTACAATCACTTTCCATTTCTGTGACACACACAGTTATTCTCCAGCGCTTACTACAGAACTAACCATTAAAAGAGAGAATCACAAAAGAGATTTTAATGTGTGACAAAAATGTACCCAAACCTCATCTCCTTTTGCTCCTTTGAATATTTTAAGCAACCGGTCTTCTCGTGGGCTTTGAGTACAGGTAATCAGAGAGGCAAATTAAGAGCCAATGCCAAGGGGGAGCATTTTGTGACCACAGTGTAGGGGTCAGAGCTGCAGCATAAAGTGAGAATGAAAACTGGAAATGTTAACAAGGTGATCAGGGGTAAAAAAGAAGTGACAAGGGGGGGGGGTCATACAAGAGATTCGTAGATAAAAAAAAAAACAGCTAAAAGGAATAAGGGAAGCAAGAAAATGGGTAAAAATAATGAATTAGAGGTAAGGTGTAAAATAAATGGGGTGATAGTGTGAGGTGTTACGCGGTGAGAGAATTAGGGTCCTTTGGGTGGATCTACGAGGAAGGTGATCGGGTATTTAGATGACCATCAGAGCAGGAGAACAGGTCAGTGAATCAGAATGTGCATTATCATTAAATGCTAAAAAGCCCTCTTTTGTCACGTCAAACACACACTGTGAGCCACGTGAACTATTTATAGAGGAACATGTTATGTGCTCCAGGCAAAAAAAATAAATAAAAGTCACACAGAGACACAATAAAATCACTTCCTTCCTCCCGTCGCCTCTCTCACATCACACGGGACTGAAAGAGTCCGACCTTCATCAAGTTTAAGCTCAAAAACAAACAAACAAAAATAAACCCCAAACTTGCGTAATGGGAAGAATGACAGCCAGTCAACATATAATTAGACAAACACACAGTGATCAAAATAGCCATTTATACAGTACCGTGTCACAGTTTCAAAACTGACAGCCCCACTCAGGCTGCGCTCATTGTTATAAAGTAAGACATCTCACATAAAGCTCTGCTAGTCATGCCAGCCTCACCCATCCATATCCTTCTGTTAACTCAATAAATGACTTAAGAGACGTAGTTCTCGGTGATATGTCTGACGGGGATAGTGGCTGGAGTCTGCGTACAGAAAATCGTCAGCTCACTGACCTGCGCACCCTCTCCTCCTGGTAGTAGTTGCCTCGTTAACACCCAAAAGTCCCACAGAGTACATCAGTGCATAGGTGACTCACCGGGTCTTTAGCTTGCTGCGCTAACACGGCGTAGGTGGATATTCTGCTGCACAGGCATTTGGTATGGACAGCGGTTGACGCGAGCGTTTGGCAGCCTTCTGTGCCCCAGTTTTCTGCGCCAGCTTCCCTGGAGGTGGAGAGAAGGGTGGGGTGGGGGGGTTGGTAGAGAGGGTGTGGGGAGGTGGCACATGGGACATAGACAGTGACTGTGAGACACATAAAAACTGTCACATGACTACACATGGATACAGGAGGTGAAAAAAAAAAACCCAAAAAACTGGGAAAAGGGGAGAGAAAGTTTTAACGGACTCGTTCCTCCCCGTCGAGCTCCCCGAGCTCAGCCATTCACGGCATATACGTTTAACATTCAGCGATCGACACTCGGGCACCGCCATGCTCTTTTACTCCTTTACAGCATCACCCCACTTGTCCTTCTCCGTGTTCAGCAACCTAAACACTTTCTTTCACGTCTTTGTTCATCCTTTTTTTCTTTTTTCCTTTTATCTATCCCATCTCCCTTTACATGGAAGAATGCCCTTAGAGTCTGGGGGAAAAATGAAAAGGATTGCATCGGCGAAAAGTTAACAAAAACCAGTGAGGCCTAAATGGTGTATGGGGCTTATGTGGAACTAAATGGTCAATTGCTTTGACACCTAACACATTACTGCAAAGGAAGCAAGCGGCCAGAATCTCGTACAATAGAACCTTGAACGCTTTATTGCTCCTTTTTGGCCACCCGTTGCCTCCCTCCTTCCCACCCTTTCACTTTTCTATAAAAGCTCCCAACGGAAGGTCGAGTGTAGAGGTCAATCAATAAGAAGTGAACTAATTACCCTGAGAGTTCACACTGCACATTAACCTTACGATTAACCCTGGATATACTTTTATTTCAGTTGCCAGAGACAGGTGAAAGCCATAGAGATGTTCTAATGGGGTCAAGAAGGCCAGCTTCATGACTTACGGCAAAAGAAGGAGCAAGTAATGTGTCAGTGAGAAATATTTTTGTTTCTTTTTCTCCTCCTTTCTCTGTGTTTTGAAGCGGGTGTGGCAACGTCCAGGATTTAAAGAAGAAACATCAGAGCTGATGACAGTTAGAGTGGGTTCAGTTTCAGTCCGATCAAGCCGCAGGCAAACAGTCGCGATAAAGCAGATTAAGTGAGTATAAAACTTTTAGAAATGTCACCTCAAGATTTGAAACAGCACGAACGTTTGCTAAACTTTCATGTTTTGTCATGAATATTTGAGGTTATAGTAAAATACTTTGCAGGCTATATTCAATGTACCATGCAAATATATGAAGTAGGCGTATAGGATTTTTTTTCTTTAACCAAAGCCTCAAAAACTTTTTGCACAGATATCTGACAAACATCTTTCCAAAGTAAAGCCTTTTGTTGTAGCATGTAGGCACAACAATCTGACCACAAGAGACTCGGGTTTGATTTCAAGCAGCAGTGGCCTGCTTGAAAAAGAAAAAAAAAAAATCAATTATTTGAAGCTAAAGACAACTCCTGTTACTGTGGTAATAGTTGCCGGTTTCAAAACAAGGATCTTTAGGAGGGGAAGAAGGGGATCTACGTGAGAACAAATGCTTCCCAGCAGGGATTTTGGGTGATGAAAACGTACCTAGCGACTGATCTTTGTGAAAGAAAACACTCTGTACTTGATATCTTTATCACGGTAACAAATAAATTTCCACCAATTAAGAAACCAATTTAGAATGTCCTTCTTTTTGAAAATCATTTTGTTAGTTAGCAAACAACACAAACTTTGTGCTGCTCATTTTGTTCTATGAACGTTTAAGGAGTGGGAGGAAAGATAAAACACAACTGGAGAGGTATATGCTGTTCTTTCTCTACTGCTTTAGTGAAGAACTTAATTACCTCATTCCAAGCTAATGGCATTGAGTACCCTCAGCAGTGGATGGAGAGAAAATTTAATAAAGCGTTGGCTGTTTCAGGACATCTATTTATTAGGATTTATATATACAGCCTATATATTTGAAAGTTATTAAATATGCAGAAATCTATAGTTTAGAATGAAATTATTATCCCCTTGTGAAACTTAAAGTTCTGTAAACATTTCCCTATGTTTTTTTAATATAACATTATTTCTACTTGCAGACAATAACAGAATTATTGTCAATGGGTCAATGTTATCATCCCACTGAAAAACTGACCTTTTTATTGAGCCGTAGCACAAACCACTGCTGCAATAATGTGCTTTATCTTTGTAATGCTCTAAGCTTGTAAAATCAAGTTAAATGAAGTTAAAACTTTTTCCACACAGTACAAAAACTTAAGCAAGGGTTTGAGCTGCCACTTGAGAAAAAACTAAATTAATCAGTATAGACTTAATAAAAACAATTGTTGATGCCCACAAAGCAGGAGACGGATAAACAAAGTTATCACAGTGTTTCAAGAACTAGTGAGAAGTATCATCAAGAAGTTGAAAGAGAGCCACGCGGTGCAGAACAAGCCGGGCAGAGGTAGGAAATAAATCACAGACTCTGAAAAGACAACTAGTGAGATGTGTCCAAAAACAACAGAACTACCAAGACACGAGGAAATGACTTAGTCAAGCTGGGAACTGCGGTCTCAAAAAAGACCATCAGTAGGACCATGAACAGGACTGGACTTTGAAGTCTCAGACCAGGAAAAACGCCACTTCAAGCCAGAGTGAAGGATGCCGAGTACAAGCGGAAGAAGGATCATGCAAACTGGAAGCACATCCTATGTTCATATGAGAATAGACTAGACTAAACTCCTGCCTGTGCTGGAGAAAGAGGGAAGAGGTGTAAAACCCAAAACAGAACAGCGTCTCTACAGTGAAACACGGTGGTGGCAGTATTATGTTGTGGGGACGCTTCAGTGCGTCTTGAAGTGGGAATCTGGTCAAGGTGGAAGGAATCGGAAATGTGAAGATTCTGAAAGTAAACCTCCAGGAGTCTGAGTTGTTGCTTCGTCTTCCAACACGACAACAACCTTGATGAAGAACTACCTCCAGAAGGCCAAAGAGAATGTTACTGACTGGCCTAGGCAAAGCCCTGACTTGAATCAGTGACAATTGGTGGGCTGAACTGAAGGCCATCACATCTGGAGGAGCATGAGAGAGCAAATGACTGCAGGCTGTTATCCAGCAAAAAGGATACACAACTGACTATTAGGCCTCACAGGGACTGTATTTTGACCCTTGTAGTTTTTTGTTTTTGTGACATACTTTTTTTGTCTATGTGCAAAGTATCAAAAAGCTAAGATGTTTGGAAAGTCCTTGCTCTCTTTAACAGCACTTGGGAAATGCTTTGACTGTAAAATCTGTATATCTTTAACAATTTAAAATTTAAATGAGAGGAAGCTTGGCTGACAGCTTCACTTCAATAAAATTAACAAGCTGTTTTGATTATTTTTGTCTTTATGGTATCTTAGGTTTTTATCCAACCTTTGGGGAAATAACAGAAGGGTAGCTTTCAAAGAGGAATTCAACGATACTCCTCTGTGATGCCCGCTTAACACAGCTCTGTTGCACGAAACTCTGGATTTGAGAGCATAAATGAATGAAAGAAACAAACACGCTGACTGGTTTCTGGTTCAAATGAAGAAAACTTTACTGTTGCTTTTACACCCGTCCATCAAAAAAAAAAGCAAACAGACAGTTAAAAAGGTACATGCTCTGCTTGCCACTTACATTACGTTAACTGCAGATCAGTAAAAAATACCACTCAAGACTATTTCTGCTCTGACAGGCCACTTATATATGATCAGTTTGACTGTAAATGACAAGAGCGTATCAACATTAACCCTCAAAAGTATGTCTGAACATGAAGGACTGCAAAGAGGATCATAAACCAGACACATGCACACACACATACACTGACACTCAATTCAAAATGTCACTAATAAGATGGGAGTTCAATCCCCTGATGATCATCATCTGCACTATGACACTTCAAAGACTAAGGATCAGAAAAACAGTTACAGCAGTGAAGCTTAGAGACAGCTTGACAGGTATCAACATGGTGCAGGGCTTTGTGTGTTTTTGTGTGTTTGAGAGAGCGACAGATAGAGGAAGATTAAAAAAAAGACAAGGCAGGAGAGCAAAAAAATGGCAAGGATGAGGAAATATGTGTGTGGTATTTTTGCTGCTTTGGCTTGTGTATATACGTCATTTATTTTACCGACCACTGTAGCTGAATAAGGCCCAGTCACAGAGGCCTAGATGGTCTAACTGGTCATGAGGTAAAAATGAGCATTCCCTGGCTGGTTGCTAGGGCTTGCTGGAGAGAAAATGACCTACTGTAACCCCCTAGCAACCACCTGTTTGTGGGGGGGAAAACGTGTGCTTCTCAACCAGTCAGCAAAAAAATTGAAGATACTCCTTGTGACGGCTTTGGTCACCATGAAAGTGTTGGATTTGTTTACAAGCACAGGCCAGCTACTCTCTGAGCTGTCCTGCCCTAAACAGCCTCCCACTGGTGTCTCGTCACACCCCTGAGTAAATATATATTTTTGTCTCTGCTCTTTGTCTGACTTTCTGTTTATCCTGCTGTTTGCCATTTTGTGCCCTGCCTCATTCTTACATATTCCCCTGAGTTTTGGTTTGTCCTTTTATTATTATTATCATTTTTTTGTTGGCTTTATCCTGCTTTTCCCTACAGTGTCCTTTGGTCACAGTCTTTGTAAGTTTATTAAAATACATTTGGTTTATTTTATCTTGCATTGGAATCCTGATATTTGCAAGAAAACAACGGAAAAACATTTCTTAATAGGCATCTGCAACCCGTTTCTGACATTTCACTAATTACCATGGTTATACATCCCACAACAATGACCACTTTTACAAATCTAATTTGTTGAGGAACTATATTTTTGAACTCTAAAAGGTTGCACTATGTGTTGGGAAATTATGCTAACACACAAATCGACTTTTGTTTTCATAGTCATATGTGCTCGTTAGCTTATATATGACCTCCCAAATGATGTCCAGTTAAGTACTTCCAAACGGCTTTGCTCACATAAGTACAGGGACGTGTTACATGTTTTTAAAGGTTAATTTATACATGGACATGAAAGCCTGTAATTTACTGCTCCAAACATTCAGACTGCATGCAATAAATAAAGACACACACACAGA